TGTTTAAAAATATTTACCAACCAATGTTTTATTTACACAAACACATATTAAGGCCATCCAACTTCCATCAAACGGCATACCGGATTTCTACATGTTTGGACTCCGCATTTAAAAACACAAAGTCCAATCTCAGATGTTAGTTTCCCTGAACAACCGCGGGGCTTAGCTATTTTCTTTAGTATGGTATGATGAAGGAGAGCTAAATTCAGAAAAGGTGGTTTAGAGTCAATTAAAATAAGGTCTCTTTCAAGAACTGACAACGAGAGGTATGCCCCTTGAAGGGTGTTATTAGTCTCAAATGACAGAAGCTGGGAAGAAAGAATTACAGTCTCTGAATCTAATGGCAAAGAATGTGAATTCTAAGAAGCACAGGGTCAGAAACCTGATTTTAATCAAATTGAGACAGGAGTTACTGGAATAATGTCATATGGAAATACATATATTCTGAAATGATGGTGAATCTTTCCAGATAAGAAATTCTGCAAATTTTTCTGAGAGTGGAGAGGGGTGTGTGGTATTTATACTACTGTTCAAAGTGCAAGTAAAAGACCAGTTTGTAATCCCAAAAATAAACAATTCTTAGGATACTAACCCCAAAGCACAGTATTTGGAAGCTAGATACATTGGGCATCACATTTTCTGAGGTATTAAATTTAAAAATAATACGATATGTCATAAAATAGTATACATTTAGAGTCCTCAAAGTGCATACGTGTTAAGTATTTAAAATTTTAAAGCTTAAAATATTACAATTATTTAATTTTTTTTCTCACAACTGCAAACTGGTTTGTGATTACTTTATAACTTTGCCGACTGTACCTGGGAAGATGAATTTGATTGTATTGTTTTTTCACATTCCATATATTCATTAAATACCACATGTAAAGCACTGTATTAGGTATTCTAATGAAAAGATAAAACAGGCTGATGTTTTCATAAAGCTTATCGCCCTATAAAAATATGTGTAAATTACGTACTGATTTCATACATATGACTTCCAAAGTAAGCTGGAGTAACTTGTTCAATTTCATACCAATACCATTTAAGTCTTATTGTGAATCAGACAAATAATCAGGAACCTGAGACCACAATGCATTCTTCTGCTCTTTTTTTTTTTTTTTTTTTTTTTTTGAGACGAAGTTTTGCTTTTGTTGCCCAAGCTAGAGTAACAATTACGTGATTTCCGCGCACCGCAACCTCCGCCTCCCGGGTTCTAGCGATTCTCGTGCCTCAGGCTCCTGAGTAGCTGAGATTACAGGCATGAGTTACCTCGCCAGGTTAATTTTGTATTTTTTGTAGAGACGGAGTTTAACACCATGTTGGTCTAGTCTGGTCTCAAAATCCTCACCACAGGTGATCCACCCGCCTCGGCTTCCCAAAGTGTTGGGATTACAGGCGTGAGCCACAGCGACCGGCCGATTTAAGACATTCTTCTAAAACACAGGATAAAGCAATATTCTAGCCCCAAATTAGGCAGCTCATCACACAATGAGTTCAGAAAGAGCCCCCAAATTCTTAATTATTAATAAATATTGAGTGCACTGGGCACTAAAAGTGTTTACACACACAAGTAGTGATGTTAACTAAAAGTTTAACTGGATACCTAAACAAGTTTGGAGTACTTATAATTTACCTCCAAGGCCAACTGCAACTATAACCGTTGGCTTTCTTCAACATTTTCTTGGATGATCCTGGTCTAAATCCGAATTCCCCATAAAAGAATTCCAACTAGAGGCCAGATGCGATGCCTCAGGCGTGTAATCCTAGCCAAGGAAGGCCAAGGAGGCGGATCACCAGAGTTCGGGAGTGAGAGACAAGCCTGGCCAACATGGTGAAACCGGGTCTCTACTAAAAGTACAAAATTAGCCGGGCGTGGTGGCGCGTGCCTGTAATTCCAGCTACACCTGCGGCTGAGGCAGAAGAATCGCTTGAATCCCGAGGGGTCGGAGGTTGCAGTGAGCAGAGATCATGCCACTGCACTCAAAAGAATTGCAACTGGAATATTTTAACAAGAGTTAGGCAAATTAAGTGGCTAGTCTTCCAGGTAAACTCAAGTCCTTTTATCTATCCACAAAATAAAAACTAAACATCAATTATAATGCTTCATTAGCAGGAAGAAGCAATTGAAATTCCTTTTTCCCCCTTACTTTCTATATCCAATTCTGCAAGCCCTTTATCTTAGCCCATTTTCTGCTGTTATGACAGAATACCATAAACTAGGTAATTCATAAACAAGAAAAGTTTATTTGGCTCATGGTCTGAGAGGCTGGAAAGTTCAAGCGCATGGCACTGACATCTGGCAAGGGCCTTGCAGTGTGTTATTCCATGACAGGATCAGAAGAGCAAGTGAATATGTGAGATAGAGCTGAAATCCAGTGACATACATCATTGTATTAGGAACCCGCTCCTAAGATAACTAACCGACTCTGATGTCATTCATCCATAGAGCCCACATGACCTAATCACCTCTTAAAGGCCTCACATCATAATATCATTATATTGGCAATGAAATTTCAACACGTGTTTTGAAAGGGACACTCCAACCAGAGCACTCTACACATCTGAAATCCATCAAACATTTCAACCTCCACTGCCACCACTTTGGTCCAAATCACTCTCCAGTACTGCTAGCACACGAAAGTGCACTAACTTTCCAACTAGCGTCCCTTCTTGTCCTTCCCTTAGCTATCATTCTTCACACAGAAACAATAGCTCATTTAATGATTTAAATGAAATCATATAATTCTCCTGAAAACTCACAGTAGAAAACCAACAATAAATGTGAAAGGAATGATGTAATTGGAAAATCATCATTTGGCAACCACTGTAATAATAATAAATTCAAGTAAGTATCATTAGAATTAGGGGGTGTAAGTTTGAGGAGTAAACAGAATGTTTACATATTTTCAAAGTATTTCCTCACAAGATACTAATTACAAAGGGGAAAATGGAAACATTATGATGGAGAAATCTTCAGCAAGTGATCAAAGTTAACATTATCGGCAGTAAAACGAACTGATCGGCCGGTGGCTCACTCCTGTAATCCCAGCACTTTGGGAGGCCAAAGCTGGCAGATCACGAGGTCAGAAGATGGAGACCATGCTGGCCAACATGAAGAAACCCCCGTCTCTACTAAAAATACAAAAATTAGCTGGGCATGGTGGCCCGAGCCAGTAGTCCCGGCTACTCCAGAAGCTGAGGCAGGAGAATCGCTTGAACCCGGGAGATGGAGGTTGCAGTGAGCCAAGATCGTGCCACTGCACTACAGCCTGGCGACAAAGCAAGACTCCGTCTCAAAAACAAAAAACAGCAACAGCCAAAACAAACTGATATCATGTCCCTCCTAATATAATGCTCTGATACGAATGAATACAAGGTTACTTCTGTAGTATTCCTTCCATAAATGCATCACTTGAAACTAATAACAACAAAAAAATCAGACAAACCTAAATTAAGGAATATTCTACAAAATAAATGGTTCGTAATCTTAAAAAATGTTCATTGCATGAAAACTGAAGAAATACTAAGCAACTATCTTCAAGACTAAAGCAGACTGGAAACCTGACAACTGAATGCAAGGTGTGAGCTTGGATTTTCCTTTGCTATGAAGGACATTATTGAGTCAGTTGTCAAAAAAATGCATAAGTTGATAGATCATAGTATTGCTAATTTTCTGATTTTCACAAGAATACTGTGGCTATGTAAAATAAATACACACTGATGAATTAATATTTAGGAGTAAAAAAATGCTGATGGCCTATTTACAAATGTATTAAAATCCAAACCACAGCTAGGTGCGGTGGTTCACGCCTGTTATCCCAGCACTTTAGGAAGCCCAGGAGGGCAGATCACGAGGTTAGGAGTTCGAGACCATCGTGGCTTACACGGTGAAACCCTCGTCGCTACTAACAATACAAAAAATTAGCCAGGTGTGGTGGCGGGCTCTTGTAGTCCCAGCTACTCGGGAGGCTGAGGCAGGAGAATCGCTTGAACCTGGGAGGCGGAGGTTGCAGTGAGCCAAGATAGCGAAACTGTATTCCTGCCTGGCAACAGAGAGAGACTCTGTCAAAAAAAAAAAAAAAAAAAAACTAAACCACTTCAAGATTTGGTCACATGTGCACTTGTTATCTTCCTGTCACTCTTCCCCACTTAATCATTATGAGAGGTCACTTTGACATGACAGTTCCTAGCGCAAGCCAAGTTTATTGTTCCCTAAACCACTCAGTCTTTGCCCATTTTAGTTTAAATATCACCCTCTCAGAAAGCCACTTCCTGAGCACACTGCCTAAAGTTACTGCCTCGATTGTCTATTAAAGCACTCTTCCTTCTTACTACTTATTTTGCGTATTTATTGTTACCTATTCCCTGCCACTGAATGCAAATTCCATGAGAAACGGGGGTATGTTCTGTTCATGGCTTTTTCTTGAACACGTGGAATATATTAGCGCTCAATAAATATCTTTAATCAGACATATCTTTAATTCTACTAAAAGGCGTTATACTCATAGAAACAGCACTAATACTTCCGTAAAATTCCGAGCTGAATTCAAAGATGATACGCTTGAAGTGAAACTTCCCAAGAGCCTGAGCATAAAAAGGTGAAGTGGATGACATCAAGACACTGGGTCTGGGCCGGGAAGCCGAGGAGGTCAGGTGACTTGGCCCCTACTGCTTTTCTACTCTTTGTGAGAGTATACGAACATCTCTCCCTTTTGCTTAAAGAAAGAATAAAGTGACGAGGAAGAATAACATAAAAGATAAATAATAATTCCTAGGAAAGGAACACTGTAGCTTCTGAAATACCACGACGCCAGGCAGCTCAAAGTACGGGGACTGACGCAGGAGCCTTCGCCTTCAGTTAACTCCTCCACCATTGCTTCTGCACTTGCGCGCCTCCCACCTCTCGCGTCCCGCCTCTTTCCCACAATACTCCTCGTCCTGGGGGACGCAGCCGCGGAAAGAGCCATAGAGAAAAAGGCTATTGGTTGGTGGTGCAGCCAATGAGCTGGCCTGTTACTAGCCTGTGGGGTCCTGTGGTGTAGGGGAAGCGCTTTAGGCCTGGAAGCCCTGCGCGTCCGGTCGGGTTTAGCACGATGAGCTCCATCGGCACTGGGGTGAGTTTGCTGTCTCTTCTGTGTGATAGTCTAACCTAAGGTTTGGGTTTGAAGGGAAGTCCATCAGACCACATGGGGTGCCTGGACTCGGGGTGCTCTGGGGCCGCCTTCGGCTGGATGGGCCACTTGCAGCTGTTTGGAGACCGGTCATCTTTATCCCCTCTGTGCTAGGCCCGCGTCTCAGGTGACTGTGACTCCTGAAGCTTTTTAGCTCAGGTGTAGCCGGCTTGACGTCCCCGCAGTGAGGTTTGGAGCAGCTTTGGATTGCTGAGTCACTTTCTTCAGCCGCTTAGGGAAACCGAAAGTGGAAACTCGTGAGGCTTGAAATAGTGCATTCTCTTGAGAGAGCCACCGAGGCAGTGCGGCTTGGGATTCCACGGTCTGGAGACCGTGCTTTCTGTGGACTGCGTTTGCAGTTCCCAGGGTGCTGCTGATTCACGGGCCCTCTCTGTCTTTCTTTTAAGTGTACTGATCATCGACCGCTCAGCCTAAGAGTCACTGGAAACCCTGTCGGAACAGAATTAAAATGATCTGGAAAGCTAAAATCTCATGAATCCTTCAGTATTTCCTTTGTCCTTGTTTTTCCTACAAAAATTACCTAATAGCGCTTTTAGGCGTTTATTCCGTAAATGTTTAAATGGTCACATAGAAACTTAACCGCTTCAGACTTTTGATAGACTGTTGAGGATTTTGCAGTGAGACCTGTTAACTTGTTTGGCTTTCCTTTGTTAAACGTATAGCCTATGTGCAGTCAGTTTACGCCTTTTATGTATTTCTCTACATAAAAAAATACAGTTTCTAAAAGATTTATTGGTCATTTGCACTAGAGTTATTGAATAATGAGTTTCTCAGTTCATCAATTTCTACTTCTTAACAAGATTCTCATGCTCAGCCTTAAATTCAAGTACTGGTGTCTAAATTTGATAATAGGCAACTTAATGTCTGGAGTGGTTAAATCCATTCGGTTATGAATGCTAAGTTCTGCCATACTTTTCTTGGATAAGTGCCCAATAATCTTGTAGCTAATTGACTTTGCAACTATATTAATAATACTTTCAATTAGTAGTATTTCATTCTACAAACTTTTTTTTTTTTTTTTTTTGAGACAGAGTCTCACTCTGTTGCCAGGCTGGAGTGCAGTGGTGCAATCTCGGTTCACTGCAACCTCCACCTCCCTGGTTCAAGCGCTTCTCCTGCCTCAGCTTCCCAGGTAGCTGGGACTACAGGCGTGCGCCACCATGCCCAGCTAATTTTTGTATTTTTAGTAGAGACTGGGTTTCACCATGTTGGCCAGGATGGTCTCGATTTCTTGTCCTTGTGATCTGCCCGTCTCGGCTTCCTAAAGTGCTGGGATTGCAGGCGTGAACCACCGTGCCCAGCACTTCTACAAACCTTTTAAAAAATACTTGATAATGTAACCATGTGGGATAATTTATTAACAATGGTAGAGTTAATGATCTGGGTTTCAGAGATCAGGAAACAGACTCAGAAAGTGCCACTGTTGAAGGCTTATGTTCTGTCTTCACTTCTTCCAAGAACTCCAGATATGAATATTTGTTTATCTGCTTGATATATCTGTCCACTTGATTGTTTAATAGTCATTTCATACTGAATGTCAAAGAGCTCTGGGTTTTCTCCTCACCTTGCCATTTTGAATCTACTACAGTCTTGAGCTCAGTGAATGGTCATAAGAAAAAAAAATCTGTGATTCATCTTTAATTCCTTTTTTTAACTGTACTCCCGGAGCCAACCCTTTAGCAAGTTTATTTTATTTATTATTATTATTATTATTTGAAACAGAGTCTCGCTCTGTCGCCAGGCTAGAGTGTAGTGGCATGATCTTGACCTACTGCAACCTCCACACCCTGGTTCAAACAGTTCTCCTGCCTCAGCCTCCCGAATAGCTGCGATTACAGGTGCGTGCCACCATGCCTGGCTAATTTTTGTATTTTTAGCAGAGACAGGGTTTCACCACGTACGCAAGGATGGTCTCGATCTCTTGACCTTGTGAGCCACCTGCCTTGGCCTCGCAAAGTGCTGGGATTACAGGTGTGAACCACCGCGCCTGACTTAGCAAGTTCATTTTTGTTTATTTAATTTTTTTACTATACCCTCAAAAGGTATTCCTTTCCACCTCTTCTCTTATCTAAGCTACTACCACTGTCTTTGGAACACCTTATCTTTACTTCTGTTGTTCTCTCTACAGTTCATTTTCCACATAAAACCAGAATGAGGTTTTGAAAAATGTAGATCATACCACCCCACTGCTTAAATTCCTCATTGCATTTAGAATAAAATACAAAGTCCTTATTCCATCCTAGAAGACCCATCATAATTTGGCCCTCAACTACCTCACTAACACAGTCTGCTCTTTTTTTCTGCTTCTTACAGTGCTCGGGACACATTGAGCTTACTTCTGTTCCTTGACTGTGCTAGCCTTATTTCAACCCTAAGATCTTTGTGCCAAATGCCAAGAAGGCTTTTCCATCATATCTTAAATGGCTAGCTCCTTGTCATTTAGGTTTGACTCATCCTAAATATAACTGCCCCAGAAGGCCTTCCCTGATGATGTAGTCAGTAGTAGTTTCTTCTATCGCTTTACTCTTTTATTTTCATCTTAGTGCCTTTTCTGATTTGCTGCTGTATCTCTCGCACCTGGATTCATGTCTGATTTGAAATTGAAGGACTTGGTGAATGAGTGTTCATCTTTGTATTCCATATAGTGACCAACATAATAGATGCTCACTAAGTGTTTGATGAATGTTGAACGATTTGAAGTCTTTTAGTTTGTTAATGGCAGAGTTATGATTACAAATTTAAATGTTCTAACTCCAGTGCTGGTTCTAAATATTAATCTTTTTCAAAAATGTGTTTTGGTTTTGTGTGTGTGTGTGTTTCTTGAGATGGAGTTTTGCTCTTGTCGCCCAGGCTGGAGTGCAATGGCGTGATCTCAGCTCACCGCAACCTCCGCCTCCTGGGTTCAGGCGATTCTCCTGCCTCAGCCTCCAGAGTAGCTGGGATTACAGGCATGTACCACCATGCCCAGCTAATTTTGTATTTTTAGTAGAGATGGGGTTTCTCCATGTTGGTCAGACTGGTCTTGAAATCCTGACCTCAGGTGATCCACCTGCCTCGGCCTCCCAAGGTGCTGGGATTACAGGCGTGAACCACCACACCCAGCCTCAAAAATGAGTTTTGTGGGCTGTGTGAAAACTGTTCTGACTTCCCCTGGGACTTGTATCCATTACACTTTAATAGCTGAAATATAAGGTATATATAGCTTTATCTTAGCTACTGTTGCTGCTCTGATAGGTTTCCTTTCCTCTCTTGAAAGCAAGGTCTTTGTTGAGATACCACATGTTCCTGATGTTTAGCCCATTTTGAGGGGAAGAAATTGTATGGTCATTACTACCAAAGATAGAAGCTTACTCTTGCCCTTTTCTCCTTAGTATGACCTGTCAGCCTCTACATTCTCTCCTGACGGAAGAGTTTTTCAAGTTGAATATGCTATGAAGGCTGTGGAAAATAGTAGGTAAGAAACATTGTTTTAACCAGGTATTAAATGTCTCCTTTTATATATTTTTGGTGATGAGACTTTGTTATGTTACTTGGGTACAAATTAGTATAGGTCCCCAAATCTCAATTTATTCATTTCCAGATCTCTTTCTAGGCCAGATGTTTTCTATGAGCCCCAGTCCTATATTTCCTGTTGATTCCAGGATTATCTACTTAAATTATCCATGTCTCAGAGTCTATAAAATCACATTGATTATCATCTTTTTGTTTTCCATTTTCAAATTCTTGATTTGTATCATAGGTTTCCTTGGTCATTAGGTTTGTGACCTTATTATTTTTTCTCATATACCTTGTGTTTTAAATGCCCAATGCAATTAGTCACATGTTCAATTCAGCAAAGATTTTTTTCTATCTCTGTGTCTCTCTTTTTTTGAGACTTGAGTCTCAGTCTGTCATCTAGGCTAGAGTGCAGTGGCATGATCTTGGCTCACTGCAACCTCTGCCTCCTGGGTTCAAGTAATTCTCTTGCCCCAGCCTCCCCAGTAGCTGGGATTACGGGCATGCACCATCATACCCAGCTAATTTTTGCATTTTTAGTAGAGACAGGGTTTCACCATGTTGGCCAGGCTGGTCTCAAACTCCTGTCCTCAAGTGATCCGGTTGCCTTGGCCTCCCAAAAAGCTGGGATTACAAGTGTGAGCCACTGTGGCTAGCCTAAATATGATTTTTAAAGTCACATTTATGCAAAGATGAGGAAATAGTTTAAAAAAATTGAAGCCTTAAAAATGAATGTGGGTTTTGTTTTTTTTTTTTTGAGACAGAGTTTCCTTCTTGTTGCCCAGGCTGCAGTGCAATGGTGCAATCTCAGCTCACTGCAGACTCTGCCTCCCCGGCTCAAGCGAATCTCCTGCCTTAGACTTCTGAGTAGCTGGAATTATAGGCATGTACCACCATGCCTGGCTAATTTTGTATTTTTAGTAGAGACGGGGTTTCTCCATGTTGGTCAGGTTGGTCTCGAACTTACAACCTCAGATGATCCACCTGCCTCAGCCTCCCAAAGTATACTTATATATTAATATATTTTTAGTCAAATGATGTGCTAGATTCTGGAGGGAGGGTCACATGATATTTATATGGATTTAATGTATTTATTACACTTTAGTGTGTTTTCTCTTTCTGGTTTTCAAATGTTTTAAGGTATTTGGCATGCCTTAAATGTTACCTGTTTTGTTTTTTTGTCAAATTTAAGTTGATGAAGTTTCTTTTCAGGTAAAAAACTGATTTTCTTCTCCTTGTTTCAGTACAGCTATTGGAATCAGATGTAAAGATGGTGTTGTCTTTGGGGTAGAAAAATTAGTCCTTTCTAAACTTTATGAAGAAGGTTCCAACAAACGACTTTTTAATGTTGATCGGCACGTTGGAATGGTAAGGTTGTGTTTTAAAATGTTCCTTTTTGTCTTGTCCAATTTCTTTTGAAGTAACTGACTGGAATAGACCACTCTGCAGTCATAAAAGTAATCAGGGTGAGTTACTGCATTTGTCTAGTTCACTGTCCAGTAGAAAGGCAGCATTCTCACACCCTTATTGGTGATAGGGGAAAAACCAAGTTTCTGAAAGAAGAGCAGGAGAGGGAGAAGGGTGAAGGGGAGTATGTGTAGAAATGAGATCTTGACAGCACAGATCACTAATGAAGGTATATACTTGAGAGGCAAAGAATCTTTAGCTTTTTGTGTATCTTGTGGGGATCACTGTCACAGTAAAGATGCCATCAGATATACCTTTATATAAGGTGAAACATCAGGAAAGGATGTTTAATGAAAAGTGTACACATCCATAATAGTTTCATAAGGCATCACTGAAATTACATTATTCATGCAGTTGGTATCTAAGTTGTGAGTGACTAAATTGCAAGCCAGGCCATAAATACACTACTGGTATATACCAAAGTTACCCTACATAGATGGCAGACTTGGCTTAATAAGAACCACTGAAAAAAAGGAACCACAGAAAAAAAGGAATGAAATGATTCTAACTCTGCCATGTGAAAAGAAAGGAAGAAAAGAGATTATGTTAGGTTCTATGCTGGGAGCTGTTTACATAAATTACCTTGTTTAATCTTGACAACCCAGTGAAGGTTTTATTAATATCATTTTTTTTTTTTTTTACTGTTTTTTTGTTTGAAACAGAGCCTCGCACTGTTGCCCAGGGTGAAGTGCAGTGGTGCTATCTCACCTCACTGCAACCTTGCCTTCTGTTGTCCCAGCAACTTGGGAACAACTGTTGTCCCAGCAATCAAGTAATTCTCTTGTTTCAGCCTCCCAAGTTGCTGGGACTGCAGGTGACTGCCAGCATGCCCAGCTAATTTTTATAATTTTAGTAGAGATGGGGTTTCACCATGTTGGCGAGGCTGGTCTTGAACTCTTGACCTCAAGTAATTCCGTCCACCTCAGCCTTCCAGAGTGTTGGGATTACAGATGTGAACCATCATACCCAGCCTGATGCCATTTTCACAGGTGAAAAAATAGATGCACAGCTAGTAAAGAAAAGCTGGGATTCAAACTTTGGTCTGCATGTTATTCCAGAGTGCTTTCTAAGTGAAAAGACACCTTATATGACCCACATCGTTCAGCTGATAGCTTTCGTATGTCTAAATGAGATGTAACGTTACAAACACAAAAGGTGCCAGTAGAGTATAACCAGCAAACCATGAAGCTATGCTTTTTTCTTTCAAAGATTACTTTATCTCAACAGTATTTTTCTCCTTAATAGATTTATTTATTTTGCTGCAAATGACAGGATTTTATTTTTTTGAGACAGAGTCTCGCTCGGTCATCCAGGAAGGAGTGCAATGGTGCTATCTCAGCTCACTGCAACCTCTGCCTCCCGGGTTCAAGCAATTCTCCTGCCATAGCTTCTCAAGTAGCTGGGATTACAGGCATATACCACCACACCCAGCTAATTGTTGTATTTTTAGTAGAGATGGGGTTTCACCATGTTAGTCAGGCTGGTCTCAAACTCTTAAGTGATCCACCCACCTTGGCCTCCCAAACTGTTGGGATTACAGGTGTGAGCCACCGTGCCCAGCCTAGGATTTTATTCTTTTTAAAGGATGAATAGTATTCCATTGTGTATATATACATTTTCTTTTTTCTTGTACAGAATTTTTTCGTCACCCAGGTACTAAGCCTAGGACCCAGCAGTTATTTTTTCTGATCTTCTTCCTCCTCCCACCCTCCACCCTCAAGTAGGCCCCAGTGTCTGTTGTTCCTATCTTTGTATCCATGAATTCTCATCATTTAGCTTCCACTTACAAGAAAGAACATGTAGTTTTTGGTGTTCTGTTTTTTTGTTAGTTTGCTAAGGGTAATGCTGAACAGATTATTGCCAGTGAAACCGATATGTTTTGATGAGACTTGCTAGATTGTAACCTACCTAGTAGGAGGTGATCTTGTATTCTTTTATTTAATAGAAAAAGTTTAAGTATATTTTGAAAGAAATTATGCATATATATACATACACACATAGGTCTTGCTCTGTTGCTCAGGCATGAGTGCAGTGGCATGATCATAGCTCATTACAGCCTTGCACTCCTGGCCGAAAGTGATTCTCCTGCCTCTCAGCCTCCCAAGTAGCTGTGATTACAAAAGTGTGCCACCACACAGGCTTTTTTTTTTTTTTTTAAGAGATAATATCTTGCTGTGTTTCTCAGGCTGGTCTTGAACTCCTGGGCTCAAACAGTCCTCTCACCTCAGCCTCCTGAGTTGCTGAGATTACAGGTATGAGCCAATGTCCCTGGCCAACATCAGACATTGAAGAAGGTTGGAGAAAATTAAGGCTTAATATCGTCCCTCCCTCCACAGTTGTCATCTTCAAGTGATTTGAGAATTATGTCACTTTACAGTAAGCTTTCTCTAAAGCAATAGAAGATTCTTTAAATGGTGTAACTTACTGGCATGGGTTACCTTGGGGAAGTTATTCTAAACACCCATTTCTGCCCGGTGCTGTGGCTCACACCTGTAATCCCAGCTCTTAGGGAGGCAGAGGTGGGAGGATAGCTTGAGCCCTGGAGTTCGAGACCTGCCTGGGTGATATAGCAAGACCCCATTCTCAACAAAAAGGAAAAAAAAAAGACAAATAATAATAATAAGCTAAACACCCATTTTTTTGTCTGCAAAAGAAGGGAGATAATAGTCCACATACAGTTGTTGTGAGGTTAAAAATTATTATGTAAAATGCTTAACATAATGAGTGTTCAGTATCTCTTAGTAATTATTATTACTGTTACTTGGTCGCATAGGAAAAAAGGCTATTAAGATTTTGATACCACTTTTAAATTCTGCAGCTGTCCTAAGCTAGAGGTTTATGGTACCTTAAGCATTAGTATTTTTTTTCATGGCTTCCCTAGGCCAAAAATATCTAATGGTTTCATTTATTACATATTTAAGTCCAAAGAACTTAGTATTTACATCCTGAAAACTTAGTAGCTTTTTTTTTTTTTTAAAACACATAGTAAAAAATATTTAAAAATTAAAACATTTCATTTTAAGCAACCAAAATTTCTAATATGTACAACCTCCCAACTTTGGATGTGGCTGTTGTCATTCCTGTTCCACACTGATTTTTGCACAGTTCTTTTTCACAGTCACCACTTACAGCCTAACTTCTCAAAGATGTGATGGCATTGAAGGGAATGTAGTAAAATGATCTAATGTTGAAACTGAACTACTTGGACAGTTTTCTCCAAACTTAAAATATGCCATACTAACGTGATTTCACCGCACTACCTGAGGGCCTCTCTGCACATCCATAGTAACTGCAGTTCTAAGCCACAAATCTTGAAAGATTAATGGCTTATCATTGTAGTTTATTCAGCCAATAGGCTGAAAAAGATTCGTGACTGTGTCTTTTAGAACAAAACATTTACAGGTTGAGTATCCGTTATCTAAAATGCTTGGGACCAGCAATTTATCAGATATTTTTGTACTTTGTAATATCTGCATTATATATTCCTTATTTGAGCATCCTAAATCTGAAAATTAAAAATCCAAAAAGCTCGACTGAGCATCTCCTTTGAGTATCATGTTGACACTCAAAAAGTTTCAAATTCTGGAGCATTTTTCAGATTTTCAGATTAGATGTCCTCAACCTTTAATAACTTGAGAGAAAAGATCAAATTTGGGTTGGGCATGTTGGCTCATGCCTGTAATCCCAGCATTTTGGGAAGCCAAGGTGGGCAGATCACCTAAGGTCAGGAGTTCGAGACCAGCCTGGCCAACATGCTGAAACCAAACCCAGTCTCTACTAAAAATACAAAAATTAGCCAATCCCACCTACTGGGGAGGCTGATGCAGGAGAATTACTTGAACCTGGGAGGCAGAGGTTGTGGTGAGCCCAGATGGTGACACTGCACTCCAGCCTGGGTGACAGAGTGAAACTCAGAAAAAAAAAAAAAAAGATGAAATCTGACCAAGACCCGTGGTTTTTATTCTTTATAATGACGTGGTAAATCGGGAGAAGAGGATTTATGATAGAAGTAGTCCTGAATATGAGCACTGAACAAAACAATGAAGTTATACTTACCAAATTTCTAAATTGTAATTTCATACTGAGGCATCAAAATGCTTTGTAGAGACCTTTAAGCCAAAAAAGTTTATTTTGAATGGTAATACCTGTTAAAAAAAATATTTAATAAGTCTGTAATAATTGCAGACTTTGATTTGTGATAGGAGTGTGATCCTCTAGTAAATTGGTGCTTTTTTTTTTTTCAGGCAGTAGCAGGTTTGTTGGCAGATGCTCGTTCTTTAGCAGACATAGCCAGAGAAGAAGCTTCCAACTTTAGATCTAACTTTGGCTACAACATTCCACTAAAAGTAAGTTGATGACATATTGAAGAACCTTTTGGACAGTAATAGAAGTTTATTAATAAGCTCTTCTGTTTCCCTCCGTAGCATCTTGCAGACAGAGTGGCCATGTATGTGCATGCATATACACTCTACAGTGCTGTTAGACCTTTTGGCTGCAGGTATGAAATTTTGTGAATTCAAAAGTCAGATGTGTACTATAGATATTTATGTTCCCCAGCGTCTTAGCCTTTTACATACTTAAAAATAGGAATTCTTGCTGAGAAGTATTAGGGCAATGATTAAATAAAACAGTGCACGTAGAAATTGTTTGAGGCTGGGTGCCATGGCTCATGCCTGTAATCCCAGTACTTTGGGAGGTTGAGGTGGGAGGATCCTTTGAGTCCAGGAGTTTGACACCAGCGTTGGCAATGCAGTGAGACCCATCTCTACAGAATATTTAAAATTTTAGCCAGCTGCAATATCGCATGTCTGTAGTCACAGTACTTAGGAGCTGTTTGGGAGGATCATTTGAGCCCAGGAGTTCAAGGCTGGAGTCAGCTGTGGTCATACCACAGTCCTCCAGCCTGGGTAATAGAGACTCTGCCTCTAAAAAATAAACAAAACAACCCAAAGCGTTTTTTTTTTTTTTTTTTTTTTT